TGAAATTATTACAAGGAGGTGACTGGGGTCAGATTCAGAGCCACCCATGGATGAGATATCAAATCTCTGTGTCTGCTGGAGAGGTGACTGGAGCCCACGTAGAAGCCAAAATGACAGGAGCTGGCAACTCCAGGAGTATGATTGTTAATGGTGATGATGATAATGGTTGTAGTGGTGGTGATTACAGTTAGCATTTACAAGAAATCAGGTCTACAATAACATATTTCTTTTCATCCTCATAACAATCTTCTGAGATAAAAGGTATTACCATCCCCATTTTAGATATGAGGAAACTGAGGTTCAGAGAAGTTAAACAACTGGGCTAAGGTCACATAGCTAGAAGAGGCAGAGGCCAAATTGGATCCTAGGTGAACCATGGTCAACTAATATTAAAATCCCCTCAATGTCTCTTGCCCTAATAGGATTCAGGGACCTTTGCACATTAATTTCAGGAACCTTTAAACATGAAAGAGGTTGTGTAAGCAAAAGGGTGGCCTCTTTGAGGCCACTGGCCTCCCTGCCCACACACTGTCCCAGGCCCAGCATCTGAACAAGTGCTTAGAGGGTTATTCCTCTCCCAGGCACACTGATGGTGAGGTTAGAAGCTGTAATTGGGCTGGATATAGAAAAGAGAGCTAACCCAGACCAGCACTTCCAGGTGTCAGGAGGAAAGAAGTAACTATCACACAGTGTAACTCAGCAATGTGGAAACCGGGAAGCCTGGAACTTGGGCCTAACTTCCCTCTGTGGCCCTTAGCTTCCTCTTCAGATGCCAGATGGTAGATCTGGAAGAGCTGGTCTGTCTGAGCGCTGAGGACAATCCCGTGCATGCAACTTTTTGCTGCTGTTGTTGTTAACCCTCACCTGAGTATATTTTTTCCATTGATTTTTAGAGAGAGTGGAAGAGAGGGATGGGAAGAGAGAGAAAAAAACATGGACGTGAGAGAGACACATTGATTGGTTGCCTCCCACACTCACCCTGGTTGGGGATAGAACAGCCACCAAGGTACGTGCCCTTGACTGAGAATTGAATCTTCCACCCTTTGGTCTGCAGGCTGATGCTCTAACCACTGAGCAAGGGCCATGCTGCTGTCTTGATGCTCTCTAGGACCTGAGGCCCTGGTCAGAGTCTGCAGATCTCTGACCCAATCTTGAGACCCTCTTTTTACGCCACTGACCCTGTTATGGAGTGAGTTGTGTCCCCTGAAAAGGTATGTTGATATCCTAACCCCCCAGTACCTGTGAATGTGACCTTATTTGGATATAGTGTCCTTGCGGATGTAACTGGGTTAAGATGAAGTCATTAAGGTGGGCCCTAATCCAACGACTGGTATCCTTATAAGGAGAGGAACACTCCAGGAAGGCAGAGTTGAACACCCTGTGATGGAGGCAGAGACTGAAGTGCTGTGGCTGCAAACCAAGCCACGCCTGGGGCTACCAGGAGCTGGAAGAGGCAAGGAGAGATCCTCATCTGAGGAAGCACCGCCTGCCAACACCTTGATTTCAGACTTCTAGCCTCCAGAACTCTGAAAGAATACATTTATGTTGTTGAAAGCCATCACATTTATGTACTTTGTTACAGTAGCCCTATGAAAATAATACAGATCCCCCAACATGATTACATGCCCAGCCACACCACTCATCTGTCTGTCCCTCCGCAGGCCGAGCTCCTTCTCACAACCACCAGGCCCTTTATCTGCGCTGCTCTTCACAATGTCCTGCACCAATATCTTCCCCAGCTCCCTGCCCTTGCTCCTCCTGAACTTGGCTTAAATGGCTCTCCTTCATGAAAATTTGGACTTGGGTTTCCCTCAGAGCAACAACAGGAATGCATTCTCCCCAGCTCTCAGTACATCTGCAGTTAATTACTTATGCAGTTTTGCAATACCCATTACCCTGGCCCAGCTGTCGATGTCATGACAATAGTGACACATTCACCAGTAGTCCTATCCCCAAAGCCCCAAGGTTGAGACAGTTAGAATTTTTTTCTCTTTACAACATACTCTAAACAGTAAACAACCAATATATGTTCACTGTCAGGAAAAGAAACTAGAAAGCATAATGAGCAAAAAGGGAAAAATATACTAAAAGTCACCTATATTCCCACTGCACAGAGTAATCATTGTTAGCATTTTGTTATACATCCTTCCAGAGCCCTGATCAGGTAGCTCAGTTGGTTAGAGCATTGTCCCGATAGGCCAAGGTGGTGGGGTTCCATCTCCAGTCAGGGCACATGCAAAAAGCAACCAATGAATGCATAAATAAGTGGAACAACAAATTGAAGCTTCTCTCTCTCTCTCTCTCTGTCTCTCTCTCTCTCACCTTTTCTTCTCTCTCTAAAATCAATCAATAAAACATTTTTAAACTGGGGAAACTTAAAAAATATATACATAAATCCTTCCAGACCTTTTTACCCCATGTATATTTCTTAAAATGCAAATACCGCTTTTCTCCAGTAAGAAACATATAATAAGCACATTTAAGAGTCAATAATGCAAAATTACATTATCATTTTTAGTGGCTGCCAAACATTCTACTGTAAGATGAACCACAATTTATTTAGCTAACAGTCTCCAATTGTTAGGCATTTAGATATATATTTTTTTAAAGGTTCAAGACAGAGAGAATCTTTTATTTTTTTATTTTTTGTGGTACATGCCCCTAGCAGGAACCGAACCCGGGACTTTCTGGTCTGCAGGCTGATGCTCAACAGCTGAGCCAAACTGGCCAGGGCATTTAGATAATTTTTAACTTTACTCTGGTGTAAACAATGCTGCTACAAACATCTGAGAAATGAGCCTCTTTGTTACCTTGTCTGATCCCTCCTTCCTTCCTTCCTCTCTTTCTCTCTCTCTTTTTTTCTTTTTTTCTGGCCTCTTGGTGTTCATTTTTCACTTGGTATAAGGCACATAGAAGGCCTAGATGTGGCTTGGATGGTAAAGAATGGGCTCTTTCAACTTCCTTTATGGTATTTTGATGTCAAAGAACCCATCTGCTTCCGCTTGCTGCAGCCTACCTAGTCTATGAGGCAAGTGGGGTCGAATGGAGAGGAGACAGACTCTGAGGATCCCAGTGCCTCTGGAAGCCTGGCATCTGGGGTTGGCCACTCAGGATGATGTTGTATTTGCCAGGCTGGCTGCCAGGCTGCTTTCTCGTGGTTTCCTGAGCCAGGTCACAGGTGATTATGCCACTGGAGTCCTGGGAGAGCTTCCGAGTGCTCTGGGGACTTCAACCAAGACCATGAAAAAGACAGTAGACTTCCCGAAAAAGAAGGTTGCCCACAAGTGACCAGGGTTGGCCTTGGGGAGACTGGGGTGGGAGGGGATGACTTTCTTGGGGTACCAGACACTTCCACAGGCTATTCAAAGTGGAACCCAGGAGGCCCGATAGTCATCGTGAGTGACTATGAGCAAGCTGCTGGGGGAGAGGGCTGCCATGCTCTTGCTTGTAGGCTGGTGGAAATCTCGGGGTGACCCCTCACTTGCCTCTGTGCAAGATCACAGGTGGTGGGGACTAGGCCATGGAGCCCATTTCGCAGAGGACACTGCGGGAGGCTGCTCAATCCAGATGCACACGGGTGATTATTTCTTGAGGAATGATTCCCAGAAGTGGATTGCTAGGTCCATAATTATGTGTGTTTTTGTTTTTTTATCCTCACCCGAGGGCATTTTTTCCATTTTTTTTTGTTCAGATAGAGTGGAAGGGAGAGAGAGAGAGAGAGAGAGGGAGAGAGAGAGAGAGAGAAACATCGACGTGAAAGGGACACATTGAGTGGCTGCCACCTGCACGACCCAACCAGGGCCGGGGACAAACTGCAACCGAGGTACGTGCCCTTAGCGGGGACCGAACCCGGGTCTCTCTGAACTGCAGGCTGACGCTCTAACCGCTGAGCCAAACCAGCCAGGACTATGTGTGTTTTTTAAGACTTCTAAAGCACAGTGCTAACCTGGCATATAAAATAAAGGATCTTCCTCCAGGAGAAGGGAAGGAAGACCAGATTTTGGAGGAAAAACAGGTTTCAGAGGAAATGACAAACGATGGGGAGCAGCAGAGCTGCAGCAGTGGGGCCACCCAGGGGAGTTGGGGGCAGATGCGGGGCAGGGTCCCGGAGGCCCGAGGCTGCTTGACACCTGGACCTTGGGGCCTACTCCTGCAGGATTCTGGTGAGGCCTTCTCTTGGGCAACCTAGACTTTCTTTGGTTTTGAAACAGCTGAGACCTTGTCCACCTCATGGGCCCTTTGTGAGCCAGTGTTAGGGGAGAGAAAATATAGAGAATTACTTCCATTCTTTGAAATGATTTTCAAAACTAAGAGAGTTTTCAGGATGCCTCATTGCTCCTGGGAGGCTACTGGCATCTATGAATGTGTTGTGTCTTCTGGAGTCTGGTTGTGATGTAGGGGAGGGTCAAGTCAAGGACCCTCTGACGTGGGCAGGAATGAACTGCTGCTGCTCTGTGGGTGGCACCCCAACCCCACTCTCCAGACCTGCCCTTCCTCAACTCAGATCAGTTCATCAGGTTGCCAGGAAGTGGCCAGAGACACTCTGTATTCCAGGAGAAACTATAAACATGAAACTGGATCCTGGCACTTTCTACCCTTTACCATGAAATCAGCTCACAGAGCATGCTGTCCTTTGGAGAACCCCCCTGGCTTTCGGTCCTCCCTCTCTCATTTACCATCTGTGGAGCCCAGGGGAAGTGAATTCACCTCCCCAAGCCTCAGATTACCCATTTGTAAAATGGGGATAGTATGTAAAACAGGGTAGCAGAATGAATTAAGTGAAATAATACATGTAACACTTGGCATAATATATTATTATTATCCATGTGACTGCCTTTTTTGGCTGAACCACCATGTTGTGTCTGAGAAATCTCAGGCGTGGCTACTTCCTGTGAAGAGCCCAAACCCCACATTCCCCTGGTGGCTTTCTGCGCCTACCCAGCCCTTTACTCGAAAGGCTGTTACAGGAAATAGCTGTTTGTTTTCTCCGCCTCCCCTGCCTGCCCTCCCATATCACAGTCTTCAGAAAAAGAGGATCTCATCTGGAAATCAGAATAAAAAGAATCAGCACGGAGCATGGTGTGTGTGCTGCCTCAGGCTGGGTGTGCGGAGTTCCACGTGGGTATTGGTAGAGTATGTTTAATTGTGGGGGCTTAAGGGGCAGCTGGTGTTCAGGTTGTGGTTCAGGGGAGTGTGAGGGAATTTCTGAACACCCTGGGCGTTGTGGTAGCAAACTGCAGGAATGGGGGCCTTCACAAGCTTCCCAACTACACACCCAGGACTGGGGTGTGGCTCCTCAGGGCCTTGTGGGGACTAAACAAAACCCTAACATTTTGGTGGCCCCTACAGGACGGCAAAATTCTCCTCTCCGCAGGCTTCTGGGACTTGCAGCTGTGGGAGCAGAAGGCGACGGCAGCTCACCGGGGCTAACAGGTAACCCTGTCCCTGGAAGTTTGGTCCCTCTCCCTCCCCTGATTTCATGAATGCTCTCCTCGGAGCCCCTTCTCCTCAGTCAGCACTTGGCCAGCAGCAATCTGGCAGCAATTGTACAGCAATTTGTAAGTCTAATGGATCTTGGGGAAGTTAGCAGTCTTAAGTAAAGGGACAGACGTCTCCCATACAAGGGTCCTGTAACAGACGAAACCTTGGCGCCAGTACTGTCACTGGGGTTTCGTCTGCGCAGGACGCTACCGCCATCTCCCTGAAGGTAAGATCTGGTCTTGGGCGGGGCGAGCCAGATCCTCTGTCGGGTCTCGGAATCTAAGATTGCTTGATTCTGAGAGCACAGACACAAGGTTCCCTGGTCACCGGAGGATGCTCCTGACTGGCTGTAGGTCCAAGGTCCTCTGGGAGGGCGAGGACACTTCCCTCCAGACTCCCGCCTCTTTCCTTTGACGCTAATGCCCTAAAGAAACCCTTCCCTTTTCCTTTCTTCCTATTTTCCATCATGGGAAACACACAGTCAGCTCCACCTAAGGACTCTTCTTTGTGATGTCCCCTTAAGAACCCAAAGGCTGTGGGACTTACTAACCTAAAGTCTAAACGTTTGATTTCCTATTACAATACAGCTTGGCTGCAATGTAAGTCAAATGACCAGGAGCTTTAGCCTGAGAAGGGCTCTCTCAACTATAACTTCACTCTCTCTCCTATAATCTCTTCTATTCTCCTTCGAATGGGAAACCACAAGATTTGTCTCTAGAATAATTGGGAAAAATTTGACCCTCAAACTTTGTTTTTTTATTTTTTTTATCCTCACCTGAGAACATTTTTCCATTTTTTGTTCAGATAGAGTGGGAGGGAGACAAAGGAAGAGAGAGAGAGAGAAACATCGATGTGAAAGGGACACATTGAGTGACTGCCACCCACATGACCAACCAGGGCCGGGGACAAACTGCAACCGAGACCCGGGTCTCTCTGGACTGCAGGCCAATGCTCTAACCACTGAGCAAACTGGCCAGGGCTGACCCTCAAACTTTAAAAAGAAAAATATATCATTTAAATGCTCCAAACTGTCCTCCTAGTAGGCCAGAGCTGAGGCCTACGACTGGCTGCAGGCTACAAAATACGCAGAGGAACCAATTCCCCTCCCTTTTGTAAAAGAAAAATGTGGCACTTTTAAAACCAAACTGCTGCAATCCTGGGAACAAGCTGCGGGGCCTGATATCCCCCTCCTCCACCTAATTTCTCTCTGGTGGACCTAGAATTTCTTTTATTATATTTCCTCTTTCACTCATCAGTGCGGAGTAAGTCCTTCCTCAAGACATGTAAGCACTGAAAGCACCGAGATGGCAGGTATATCTGCCCTCTGAACACGGAGTCGCCCACCTGTGACTGTCCCCAGGCAATACCTGGGCAGACAGGGTCCAGTGAGTCAGGACCTAATCACCCCTGACATCTCTCTTGCTTATGTCACTGGGTTTTCTGACTTTTCAATGAGCCAAAGCAGCCCTGTTCAGGCTCTCTCCCATTTCTTTTCTTTATCCTCACCCAAGGACATTTTTTTGTTCAGATAGAGTGGGAGGGAGGGAGAGAGAGAGAGAGAGAGAGAGAGAAAGAGAGAGAGGGAGAGAGAGAGAGAAACATCGATGTGAAAGGGACACATCGAGTGGTTGCCACCCGCACGACCCAACCAGGGCTGGGGACAAACTAACTGAGGTACGTGCCCTTAGCGGGAACCGAACCTGGGTCTCTCTGGTCCACAGGCTGACGCTCTAACTGCTGAGCCAAACCAGCCAGGGCTCTCTCCTATTTCTTAATCTCTTAGATTGGAACCTAGATTTCCTTTGTTTTCACTGACAGTTCACAGCTCTTAATGCCTTCATTAAAAGTTTCAACAGGTCTTCCTACTTGATATTCAGAAATTTCTTTTTTTCCAGGCTTCTTTTTTAAATCCTCACCCGAGGATATTTTTAAATTTATCTTCAGATAGAGTGGGAGGGAAGGAGCAAGAGAGAGAAAGAGAAAGAGAGAGAGAGAGAGAGAAACATCCATGTGAGAGGGACACATCGACTGGCTGCCTCTGGCACTACCCCGACCAGGGCTGGGTTGGAACCTAACCAAGGTATATGTCCTTGATCGGAATCAAACCCTTGACTCATTGGTCCAAAGGCTGTCACTCTAATGGCTGAGCCAAACTGGCCAGGGTTCTTTCCAGGCTTCTTAAAAGTCATCAAAAGCAATATTGAATCGGCCAGTATGGCTCAGTGGTTGAGCATCGACCCATGCACCAAGAGGTCACCGGTTTGATTCCCCGTTAGGACACATGCCCAGGTTGTGGGCTCAATCCCCAGTGGGGGGCATGTGGGAGGCGGTTAGTCGATGTTCTCTTTCATTGATGTTTCTATCTCTCTCTCCCTCTCACTTCCTCTCTCTCTAAAATCAATAAAGGAGGGGGGAGGCAATATTGAAGCACTTAAGTTTTTTTTCCCTACCTAACCCCTCCAGAATTTGGCAACTTTCAATGAGTATTAGTTTTATAACATATTTATTTGCATAAATTCAATATAAATTAGTTCTCTTTATAATGGAACACATAAAGCTAGATTCCCATTATGGTTTTATTAACCAAGTCTTTGACTGGAATGCCATGTCTGAAAAGACATTCCAGGACTCTCCAGAAGTGTCACCAAAAAGCTTTTAGGAATTGAGATTAACTTTGGAGCCAATAAGAACACCTCGGAGAAAGGCCTTTCTTGGTCAGTGGTCCACTGCAGTCTTCCTATGTAAGAAATGAAAGATGAAGGAAAAAACCTCAAGACATATTGGGGACCTCAAGAGCTTGAGGAATCTGCCCAAATCCTTGCAAGTAAGACCAGACAGCAACTGTGTGGCTTGGCCTCTGTGCCCTGAAGCTGACTGGTGGCTGCTCTGTAGAGCTCAATCTAAAGATTCCCTTATGGCCCTGGCTGGTTTTCTCAGTGGTTAGAGCGTCGGCCTACGGTCAGTTCCCGCTAAGGGCACGTACCTCTGTTGTGGTTTGTCCTCAGTCCTGGTTGGTCGTGCGGGTGGCAGCCACTCGATGTGTCCCTTTCACATCCATGTTTCTCTCTCTCTTTCTCTTCCTCTTTCTCCTTCCCACTCAATCTGAGCAAAAAAAATGAAAAAGTGTCCTCGAGTAAGGATAAAAAAAATAAAAGAATAAGAAAACTAATCATAGTGGAGCAATAGCCATAGTTAGAAAAGTGTTAATCATCCTTTACAATGTTAATCGTGATTGCTTTGTTCTGATTAAAGGAAAGCCCATTCTGACCTGGCTGGGAGGTGTGCACCTTGGGAGTTTACCTCTGGAATGCTGTCCATTCTCCTGATCTGAGGACAAGGGGACTACCTGACATCGTGGAAGGATTAGCAACCTGGTTATTGGAACACTGGACCTGTGACGTTGATTCACTAGCAACCAGCCCCTGCAGTGCCAGGTCCCCGTTCCTCCCTCCTTGCCTGTAACCATTGTATCCATTTTTTTCCCCTCTTGCCTAATTGCCTTTTCTTAAGTAATCATTGTTTCTCTACTCTTTAAAAGCAGCTAGTTCCCTGGCTGGTTTGGCTCAGCGGTTACAGCTTTGGCCTGCGGTCTGGAGAGACCCAGGTTCAGTTCCCGCTAAGGGCATGTACCTCGATTGCAGTTTGTCCCCGGCCCTGGTTGGGTCGTGCCGGTGGCAACCACTTGATGTTTCCTTCTCTGTCTCTCCCTCCCACTCTATCTGAACAAAATATGGAAAAATGTCCTCGAGTGAGGATTACAAAAATAAATAAATAAAATAAAAGCAGCTGGCAAGTGAGGAGAGTAGAGCAGATTTTACAGGATGACCCACTGCTCCCTCACACTGCCGCCAACGTTGAAATAAATGTTCAGATGATTCTACCCGGTCTCTGCTTAACTGGCTCAAGTAGTGACAGGCAGCAGGATCCATTCCTTGTCTGGTTGCACAACCAGTAAAATAGATAAGGGCTGGGCTCTTTCCAGCCGTTTTTAGAACAGAAACTTCCCTTCTTCCTCTCTTGAATGCTTTGCAATCCTTTCAGGTAAAACTCCCTTTTCCCAAGCTTATTTTACTGGCTAAAGAAGAAATAAGAAACTCCCTGGTGCAGAACCAACAAACCAAAATCCCTCAAGGCAACCAACCCCGGGCATCTGTGTGACTTAAAATATGACCCCTTCCAATAAAAAGTCAACTCGCCTATCTTTTGTTGCCCAGTGCCACCTGGTACTCGGCCCTTTCCCTGTCTACGGGGAAAGACAAAATAAATGTCCTCCTTTTGCTCTCTTCTCTCAGTTGTGAATTTTTTCACAAGCCTTCTTCACTGGCCTAAACAAAACCCTAATAGGGAGGGCACTTCCTCCTTCCCTGAGGGCGGGAAATACCCTCCTCCACTCTGAGCTGCAATCTGATGAGACACCAGGGCTGGAATGTTATAGAGAAAGCTTCCAATTGCTTTCAACTTTCCAATTTCAGACTGTACCCTGAGAGGCGGCCCTTAGTCGAAGGGATCATTGCGCTGAGCCTTCTCTCCCTGTATCCTCCCAGAAGCAACCTCCTGTCTGCAGGTAGAAGAAGGTAGGATCAAGAGCAGCCCAGTCAAAGCTCCAAGGCTGAGGCCCCTGGGGACCCCTTCTGGCTGCCCTGCCCCCACTCCCCAAACTGTGGTTTTCAATTTTGCTAATATCCTTACTGGGGTGGATTTTGGGGAGAGGGAAACCCAGGTCCCCAAGGGTCCCTAGGTGGGTGGCACCTCATAGGTCTGGGTCTGGGAGCTTTCTTCACCTCCCTGGCCCTGTGGTCTCTCTGGGGTTTGGTGGGGTATGTATATGTAGACCCACCTATTCTGTTTTCACCAAATTTCTCCTGGACTGGAGCTCTGGGATGCTGTACGCCTAGCTTGTCCCCCAGAGGTGTCTCCAAAAGCAGCCCCTGGATATGGCTGGGCATTAGGGAAAGGGAGAGCTGGGGGAGGCACCCAGTCCTGGAATGACAGGAGAATGACAGGTGTGCATAGCCATGGATTTCTTGCTACCCACAGATGCCCCACTCCAGCTTGCACCCATCCATCCCTCGACCCAGGAGTCACGGGGCCAAGAAGGCAGCTTTTGTCCTGCTGAGTGCCTGCCTGGTAGCCTTCTGGGGTTTGAGTGAACCTCCAGACCGCATTCTCCAGTGGCTGGTGCTCCACCAGGCCTCCCTGCAGCTGGGACTGCTGTTCAAGAGAGTTTGCAATCTGGTTGAGGAGCTATGCCATGTCCATTCCAGGTGACTCACTGCAGCACCCATGGTGACATGCAGCAACTTGTCTCACTCCCTTGACCCCCAGCCCTGCCCCTCCTTAAATCTTTCTAGTTGAGCTGGTCTCTTGGCTGTCACTTGCAGGTACCAGGGAAGCTACTGGAGGGCTGTGCAGGCCTGCCTAGGCTGCCCCATCCGCTTTGTGACCCTGCTGCTGCTGTCCTGCTTTTACTACATCTTCTTCCCAAACATCAGTGGCCTGCCCTTCACGTGGCTGCTTCCCCTCCTGGGCCTCTCAGAGGCACTGAGCATCCTCCTGAACTTCCAGGTATGACACAAAGGGAAGTGGAGGGCATGGCCACCTGCAGGCTGTGGCTAGTGTGACCTGCTCTGAGCTCAGTACTGGGAGTGGGACTAGTTTAGAGGTTGGTTCTTGGAGTAAAACTTATAATGTCCTGGAATAGCGGGGTCAGCAATGGCAGAAAAGACGGAAAATCAGCAGCAGTTTGGAGGCGGAGGGTTCTAGTTGTCCTTCATGGAGGCTCCCCAGCCCCATCCTTCTGTCCACAGGTCCCGGCCCCAGCTGAAGTGTCTACAGTCTGTGAACAAAATAACTTCAACGTGGCTCATGGGCTGGCATGGTCATTTTATATCGGGTATCTGAAGCTGATCTTGCCAGGTGGGCCACAGTCTATGTCCCCATTTCTACATCTATGAGACACACAGACAATAAGACACATCGTTTCCAGAACTCGGTATATTTTTCAAAGGATTTTCATGTCTAACAAATCATTTAATTCCCAAAGCAATCCTGTAGGCATGAAGAATGTTGTTATTATGTCTGGTTTACAGGAATATCAGATGACTTGTCCAAAGTCACCTCTGAATTCTTTCAATAACTGTTTACTGCATACTGTGTGCCCTTCATGTGCATTTTCTCTTTTAATCCACACACTATGAGGAAGGGATAATCCTTGTCCTGGCTTAAGAGATAAGAAAATTGTGGTTCTGAGAGACAAGGTGACTTGTCCAGAGTCACACAGTTTAGTGAGAGGAGACAGGATTTGAACCCAGGTCTGCCCAGAGCTTGGACCCTTGAGCACTCTGCTGTGACTCTGTGCTGTTATTCTTCTGACTGCCAGCCAGGGCTGGAGTTCTCCCATATCTTGTTGCTTCCTTCCCTTGACGCCAGGGCTTCCACTAGGAAATGGCTTGTGCTGGAGGCCTGACTCGGTGCACCTGGGGATACTGGCCATGTCACTTCCCAGGGCTCTGCCTGCCTCTCGGAGCCTGAAAGCTGTAGTGGGAAGGAGTGGGGCTGACAGAAATCTGGATGAAGGACAAAGGAGGGGAGAAAGCAGTGGTGGGAGTAGGCGGAGGGGTGGGGAGTGTTTTTGGATGGGCTACCCCTCCTGGCCTTCTGGACAGTACAAGGTGACTGGACCCTCGGTTCTCTTTCACCTACACATTGAGGGGACCAATGACCCAGGTGGGAGGCAGGGTTAGTGGGAACGACTTCTTGGGCCTCTCTACCTCAGGGCTTCGGGCCCGGATCCGTAGTTTCAATCAGCTCCACGACAATATGCTGCGAAGCGCAGGAAGCCATCGGCTGTACATCCTCTTCCCATTGGATTGTGGGGTATCTGACAACCTGAATGTGGTCGACCCCAACATTCGCTTCCTGAATGAGCTGCCCCGGCAAATCACTGACCGTGCTGGCATCAAGGGCCGTGTTTACACTAACAGCATCTATGAGCTCCTGGAGAACGGGAGGCCGGTGAGTGTGCAGGAGGAAAAGTCCTGCTGGCGAGGGTCAGACCCAGAGCCCCAGAACTCTGGACTCTGGCCAACCACTACTAAAAATTTACTGCCCTTCTCTGACCCTCAGTTTCCCCAATGAGTCCCAGGGCTGGGCAGGATTCAATGCTGAATGAGGATAATAAGTAGCATTCACTGAGCACTTATGCATGCCAGATGCTATTCTAGATGCTTCAGCTAACCTCAATGAATCCTACCACGCTGTAGGGTAGGGACTGTTATGACCTCTACTCTACAGATGACAAAACTGAGACTCAGCAAACCAGGGAGAAAGTAGACTATTTCAACCTGAATATACCATGCTTTTGACTATAAAGCTGCCTTCAGTGAAGGCTGTGAGAACACCAGATGGATTTCACATGGGTGGCGGGGGGAGACCCAGACCAGGGTTGAATACCAGAGCCTAGCCCCCAGACTTGATTTCAAACTGGAGCAATGACAGCCTAGCTTGGTGGGCCTTGTCCTGGGATCTTAGGAGGAAGATCGATGAAGGGTAAATTTAGCTCAGCCCTGGCCCTGACTTGAAGAGGGTGTCAGAGGCAAAGGCACTCCATCTCTACAGACTGAGGAGTGGTGTCCTTGCAGCGGTACTGGGGGGCCAGAATCTGTCTGCCCTGGTTTAGTCTGGTCTTCCTCTCCCCTTCTGCAGGTGGCCGCCTGTGTTCTGGAGTACGCTACCCCCTTGCAGACCCTGTTTGCCATGTCACATGATAGCCGAGCTGGCTTTAGCCGGGAGAATCGGCTTGAGCAGGCCAAACTCTTCTGCCAGACACTTGAGAACATCTTGGCAGATGACCCTGAGTGTCAGAACAACTGTCGCTTAATTGTCTACCAGGGTAAGGGGTAGATAGTTTGGAGGGCAGAGGAGTCAGGGGTTCCAGGAGTCTCCCAGGGGGTCAGAAGGAGATATGATAGCATCATGCCCTGGGCCATCCAAAGTGGTCGTGGCATTCGAGCCCTGCCCCTTCCTCTCATGAGAGAGATCTACCTACCCACACTGGGACGCTTTGTGCTCTGAGGTCTTTTGCTATGGATCATGGGTGGAGCATGAAGAGGTGGGCTCTAGCAGCTCCTCATCATCAAGGGATGCCGGAGGAAGCAAAAGAGCCCAGGCTAGGAACTAAGAGACTGACGGGCTGCAGCCTCAGCTCTGCCACTCCTTCACTGTATGATCTCGGGCAGGTCTCTGCCCTTCTCTAAGCATCATCTCTAATAGCAAGAGGGTGGAATTCCACTATATCTAAAACCACTTCTAGCTCTAGGATTCCATGAAACTCTAACCCCGATGGCTGGGATGGGGAGGGGGCTCAGGGAGTTGGAGAGGAGGGAGGGTTGAAGGATCTGCCCAGCAAGTCCTCTGAGTGTGCTGAAATGGGAATGTGTGAGGTTCTCACCCCACTCCCCACCACCTTTCCTGACCCCATTCTAGATCCTGCAGAGAAAAGCAACTTCTCCCTGTCACAGGAGATTCTCAGGCACCTGCGGCAGGAGGAAAAGGAGGAGGTTACTGTGGGTAATGTGGGGACCTCCGTGGTGCCTGGCCCTTCCACGCTGCCCAAGGAGCCCGAGCTCCTGATCAGTGACATGGATCCGCCTCTCCCACTCCGCACAGATATCTTCTGAGGCTCAAGGTCACCTTGCCTGAGCCCCCAGTGATCCCCAAGACTCTGGATTGGGAGCTTTATTTAGGGGCTAGATGCCCGGCAAAGCCATTTCCTCCCACAGAAGGTTTAGGGACTCATCTCAAGATGAGTCCTATGACCTTGGGTAAGTTTTACTTGAGGCTCAATGTCCTCATCTATGAAAAGGGATCATAATCATTGCCCTACCTACCTCACAGGGTTGTTGTGAGGACTACGACTGTATGGAAGTTTCTTATAAACTCAAATTGCCAGGTAAACGTAAAGAATGTGCCAGGTGTCTTCCAGTGGACCCTCCAGATCTACTGTCCACCCCTCTCTGCCTCGTCTGCCCTGGGATGGCATCAATAGACTCCCTAGCCCCTTGGCTTCTGGTTATGTTTGGTCTGTGGGAAACCCCAATGGGAGAATGGAGGAAAGGAGGAGAATGAGGTTCGAGTATTTATTTCCCCAGCAGCCTCCCTGCGGTGTCAAGGTCACTGTGAACTCTCTGCATCTCTTGGCCAGACCCACTCAGGAATCCTCTCCTCCAAGTCTGGTGAACTGCTTCCTTCCCTGGCCCCTTCAGGCCTAACAGTGGTACTGGCTCCCCACCAATGCTCATCTTCTAGTACTCACTCTCGATTTTGATTTCCTTATAACTGCCCCTTCCAAATGGTCCCCTTTTAAAACACTCTTCAGATTACACATTTGACTGTGCCATCTTTCTCCAGTTGGACTCACTGATACAAGCTATTGGCATTTATTATCTGCTGTGTCCAAATCAGCTTGCACAGACGTGCTTCCTAATACCCCTCCTCATCCTAGTACAGGGGAGAGAGCGAGTGGAGAGTATCCTTTCAGTGTGGACAGAGCCCACCAGGCAGGCTGAGGGCAGAGAGTTGGGCAGCACCTCCACTCCACCTGCCTTTTCAGTGAGTGCCCTTGTATCCAGTGGGAGGCTTGGGAGCAGGTAGGGACCAGGGGCTGCCTGAGGGAGCGCACAGATGCCATGAGGGTACACTGCTGTGTCCTGGGCAAGGGGTTGCTCAAAGAAGCAGGGCCACTGAGTAAACATCCCGGATGAGAGTGCCTGCAAAGGGATAAAGGGGGAGGAGGGTTTGTGTGAGGCGGTGGGACATACTCTGGGGAACCTTGAACAACACAGCCAGCCACCTACCATATCTTATGCTATTGCTGTTAGAATTGAAGCACTGCAAAGGCACTATGGTGGCAAATTTGCCCTTGTTTAGAAAGGGAGGCGGCCCATTTCTGCCAGTTCCATTCATTCCACCCAGAACTTGTTCCCTCCCTCCCACCTTTGTTTTTGTCACAAATGTTCAATATGCATATCTGAGTACAGCGTGCTATGGAGGAAGCTTCTACACATAGACACACATTTGCCAGAAGGAGCTGACTGCCGCTAAGGATGACAGAGCCAAGAGATTGAAGGGGAAACAGTCCTTCCTTCTCCCTAGCTGTAGCAGCCATTCTGTCCTCAAGGCCTGAGGATCCTCCATTTCACCAGTCACTCCTACACCTAGAAACCAGAATCAAGGGCCTCCCAACGTGACTTCCCCCACCCATCCAGACCCCAACACGGTGTTCAGGATGTGGAGTCTGACAGTCTCAGGTTCAAATCCTGCTCCACCTTAGTACCTGTGTCCACTTGGGTGTCTATGTCCCCTAAATGGGAATAACAGTGGCTCCTCTTCTCAAGGTTGTTATGAGGAGTGAACGGTATAATGTCTGCAGGCCCATGGAGGAAGCCAGTACCCAGCACAGGGCTGGCCTTCAAGAAGGAGCACCTATTAACCTTATAGCTGCCTCTCATCAGCGCAAAGGTGGCAAGCCAGCCCTCTGCAATATTACAATCTCTGCCTCTGTCCCTCTATCTTCTATTATTTCCAAGCCTCACCGACTATGCTGGGGTCTCACCGAGAGCAATCCTCAGGGTTTACTTGTTGCCCTCCAGTGCTTCCCTGGGTAAAGCACCCAGAGGTCCCTCCATAAATGTCTGTCTGCATGTTCTTGATTGCACATGAATGAAGCTCAGAGGTATCAGGGAAAGGGGTGCCTCCCAGGGAGCCACTGGGAGACTCAGCTCTGCTTTCCTGGCCTCCTGCATCTTCCCAACCTCCATGTCTCTCCCCCTGTACGCCTTCTCCCCACTCCTTTCTTCCCCTAGACAAGCTCCATTAAGCTCCCTTTCCCTTCCTGTTTTCCCACCAGCCAGAAGGTTCTAGATTTGGGAAATTTCCTGGGGTAGATTCTAGGCTAATTCCAACAGGCCCATGCACACAGAAAGTGGGAAGTAATGAGAACTCCCAAATTTCCCCCATCTCATCATGGAAAGGCAAGACAGTCTTGCCCCAAAATAGTGGGGGCCATTCAGAAACAATTTGGGGAGCTATAATTGATGCTTGGGGCTTTGCAAGGGTCTTGAAAATTGTTATCAAGTCCTGGGCCTTGACAGCCAAAGGGATGTCCCCCACTCAGTGAAGGGCAACAGATTTTCCTTCCTTTCCTGAGTCCCAGAGAAGGCAGACCCCTGGGCTGTTTGCCTTGGCAGTTTCTGACTGGCCCTCGCAGGACCTGGGGGCTGGAGCGGCAGGGCCTCTCTAGGGAGCCTCTGACATCCCTGCACAGGGGTAGGGTAGGTGGTAGAATCTTCCAAGCTGGACTTACCTTGAAACCCAAAGGAGAGGAGATTAGGAGTGAGAGGAGGGGTAGGACTCGGAGAAGGAGGTTCAGCAGTCTGGTGGTCCCTGAAGCGGAGGGAGTAGATTTGAAAGGGTGGCCTTGGGCACTGGGAATGCTCACAGAAGCACATGCCTGGGCAGGGCCCTCAAGCTTCCTTGATTTCCCGCCCACACTGAGGCGTTCTCTGTACTCTGCTGAGAGGGCAGCTCCAGCGTAGTCCACGTGTGCATCTCTGAAGCTCTGGTGCTCGGGTCCCAGTTGGCTTCTGCCCTAATTCTCTGTCCAGTTTCTTGTTCTGAGCCAGGTCAGGCCTACTTTCCAAAGTCTTCCTTCTACAGATAGGTGACTTCATCGATGCTGAGCCTAGGCCCATCTGGCACAAGGCAGAAGCCAGAGACAGGAGGGCCCTGCTGGGTGTCTTCATGAATGTCCTGGGAGCTCAGCACTCGCCAATGGATGAGGTAGATGCCACCCTCTGGCTTTGGGGCTGGTGGCTCTGTGGGAAGAGTGGCATGGCCCTGGTGTAGACTTGGACCAAAGTGGACTGCCACCACAATGCAGACTGCTAGCAGGACAAAGATAGCGATGATGACAGTGAGCAGAGGCAGCCCATCTTCTTGAGGTGGTGCCCAGGCCCCACTCAGCACCTCAGGGAGCTGCTTCTGGGTCTCCTGCCCCCCTGAGCCATTCACAACTGGAGAAAGCCAGGGATAGCGGTCAGCCTAGGAGGGGAGTGGCAGAGAGAAAAGGTGACATGGGCATATACACACAGGAAAAGACCAAAATAGAGAGAGATACCCACAGGGAACTGAAAGAGAGAGACAGAGAACCTCAGGGGGGGAGAGAGAGGGAAACAGAGACAAAGAGAGAGAGAGACAGAGTAAAGACATGGAGAGAAAGACAGAACAAAGAGACAGAGAAACATAGAGATAAATATACACATAGCAACAGAGAGAATAAAAGAAAAAGACCAACAGAGGGAATATGGGAAGAAAGAAAGATACAAAGAGAAAATGAGAGATAAAGAGAAAGCAGTGAAGATAGACACAGAGAGACAGAGAAAAAAGAAACAGAGATTGGAAGACAAAGTTGTTCAGAAAAGGATAAAGCAGGGCTTCATTAGTCTGGCATATAGAGTTTGGTCCTGCAAGTCCCCTCCCACAGCCCTCTCTTCCAAGATCTCCTAATTCGCAAATGGAGCCTGTGTCCTGGGTCAGGAATCTTAGCATACTATGGGCTGCTGTCCCATGTCCTGGGCAATGGGCAACTGCTTCTTTTTTTTTTTTTTTTTATCCTCACCCGAGGATATTTTTCCATTTTTTGTACAGATAGAGGGGGAGGGAGAGAGAGGAAGGGAGAGAGAGAGAGAAACATCGATGTGAAGGGACACATCGAGTGGCTGCTACCCGCACGACCAACCAGGGCCGGGGACAAACTGCAACCGAAGTACATGCCCTTAGCGGGAACCGAACCCGGGTCTCTCCAGACCGCAGGCCGACGCTCTAACCACTGAGCCAAACTGGCCGGGGGGGGGCAACTGCTTCTTAAAGTCCTGAGAAAAGGGAGTCATTGTGTTCAGCATCTTAGGTTCCCACTATGCACATAGAAGAGGGATGGAGATGGGGGGAAGAGAAAGAAGAAGGGGAGACAAGAACCCCAGAAATTTGACAAGGGGGATACCTCATCCATAATATCCCCCCAGGACTCAGGATCAGGTTCAGGGGCCTAGAAGGGAGGGGATGCCCAGTGTGGATTCCTGGCTCTGCCCAGCACAGATTGAGGAGATGCCATATGCCATGACAGTTTCGACCTTTTTCAGGGTCCCAGAGTTCTTCTGCCTAAAGCTGGAGGTCATGACCCCTACCTTTCTCTGTCTCCACCCTGCTTAGTGCAGGGTTATAGGGGGTTGACTGTGAAGATTGCAACCCTCCAAACAATAAGCCCCAGAGCTGGCAAGGTCATCACAGGCTCAAGAAACTTTTCTCCCTAGTCTCCCGGTCCCCAGCTGGACCATCAGAAGCAGACCCTTTGGAGTGGAGTCTCTCGCTTAACTCTGAGCCTGCAGCCTGGCTCTTCTGACAGGTAGGCATTTGGGGTCCAGGACAAACCCACTCCCTTTAGTCTCTCAGCCACACTGTTCACCCCGTCCCATCCCCAACAGATTAGAATATAGAAAGCCCAACACCCCCCACTCCTCCACCTCCCGCCCCGGAAACTCTGAGTCTGTCTGGGGCCCAGGCCACAGAGCTCCCAGGCAAGGAGTGGGGAAGCAGCTCCGGAAGTGCCAGGAAAAGGAAGCAGAGGCTGGTGAGAGGCAAGGGGCCCCTGCAGGGGGTCCAGCCAGCCTGGCAGGAGGGTGTGAGGGGAGAGTCTACCTGGTGCATTGTCTCCCCGGCTCAAGACTCCCTCAAGACTGGTGGCTAGCTAGGCAAAGGAGAGCCTGCCACCCCAGCTCAGCCCCTACCAGGAGCTGCCACGTCCTGTGGAGCTCACAGGGCACACACCCTCTGCACACACACTGTCAACGCTCTCTCCCTCGCTTTCACTTCCTTGAACATAGGGCCGACACTGACACCAGCTCTTAACTCTGATAGTACCTTGATCTCAATTCTTGGCACCTCCTTTCATGCTCCCTGACAGCTTCAGGAGCCTGGGTCTGCCTGCCCACCCCTCCTCCACCCGATTGCAGACACTTGGACATCGTCCCTGCCCAGCCCCACCACCCACCAGGACATACTGATTTCCCACCCCAGCCGATTTCCTATGGTACTAAGCTTTGATTAACGTTTAAACGCAGTATCTCAAGCACACTGGAAATTGTAGACTATAATATACCAAATCTCTCTGGCCCAACTAACAGCTCTATCCATCTCAATAGTTTGTCACATTTATTTCAAAAAATGTTTTAAGAACTAAAATTCTACAAATAAAATAGAAGTCCCACTCCCTGATCTCTCCCTATTCTCGCCCCACGGATAACCATCTTTTTTAATTTGATGTTTATCATTCCTATGAAAGGCATTCTTTTCTCTTTGTTTTTTTTTTTTTTTCCTTTTTTTGGTTGTTACAAATATGAATTCTCTATGTCTCTGTATTTGTTGAAATGCAACTTCATTTGAGAATGTGTATGTTTTCATATGTCTAAGTCACATTAAACTGGACACAGTTTTAAAGGATAATTTAAAAAAAAATTTTTTTTAATCCTCACCCAAAGATATTTTTCTATTTATCTTCAAACAGACTGGGAGGGGAAGAGAGAGAGAGAGAAAGGGAGACAGAGAGAAACATCAACATGAGAGGGACACATCAACTGGTTGCCTCCTGCACGACCCCGACCAGGGCCAGGGACGAACCTGCAACCGAGGTACGTGCCCTTGGCTGGAATTGAACCCGTGACTCATTGCTATGCAGGCCAATGCTCTACCACTTAGGCAAACCGTCCAGGGCTATAAAGGATACTTTTTTGTCCCAACTAACTTTGTGGAACCAGCCATCCCTCATTCTGTCATTTGTGTACATATCACCCTCCATTCCAGTCCGGAGACCAAGAGACCTCCAGCAATTCCCTTACCCAGTGACTTGATCCCGATTCCTTGGCTCTCAGCCAAGCTGCTCTACACTCTGACATTCAGGAACTCCACTCAGACCTCCACGCTTACTTAAGCCCAGGTCACTGGGCTGCTGACCTCACCTGCAAAGTGAGACCAGTGGCTGGCTGGAAGCCAACTAGGAGGCTGGTATTTCCCAATGTGATCAAAGGCTGTGGTCATTCTCTACCTCCCACCTTGGACCACTTAGACATCAGCCAGAGGGGATCTGGATCCTGCCACAGTCCAGAGCTTCAGCCTGCTATTTGCCTCCTCGAGACACATGTCCCATTGCTCTCACAGGCACCGCCACGGGGGCTCCAGTCCTCGAGTCCAAAAACCTTATTTCTGATCCTTCTGATGGCTAATTTTTCCTTCCCCTCCCTCATCAGTTCTGGATTTATCTTCTAAAGGGCTTGAGAAAGGATAAGGGGATGGCATGTTAGGGACCAGATTATTATTATTATATTTATCCTCACCCGAGCATATTAGAGAGAGAGGAAGGGAGAGGAAGAAAGAGAAACATCAATCGGTTGCTTCCCCTACGCACCCTGACTGGGATCAGTTGCCTCCTTTATGCACCCTGTCCAGGGCTTAAACCCAAAACCTGGTACATGTCCTGACTGGGAATCAGACCCGTGACCTTCCAGTGTACAGGACAATGCTCCAAACAAGTCACACCGGCCAGGGCAGGGACTGTGTTATTGTCCCAGCCTTCTTTCCCTTTCCCATTGCCATGCTCACTTTTATGAGCTGCCCTTCCGCCATTCCCACCATCTAAACATTAACCATCTTTTATGGCTTAGTTCAAGTGTTACCTCCTCCAGGAATGTATTCTTCAGCCCACTATACTGAAGTAGATTTCTCTTTTCCTTAAACCCTGTACAGTATGTTTCTTACCTTGCTCCTGACATTTGTCTCACTTTGTCTTATGTTACAGGTGTGTGGGGGCTATTTTTCTTCCTAACCTGTGAACTCCATCAAGGCATTCCTGTCTGTGTCCCAGAGTCTATTATAGTAACTGGTACTACACACAGGTGCTGGACAAGAGTTTGCTGAATAGAACCAGGACCTGGACAAACTCCCCATCCCTGTCCCGTCCTTAATACTAGAGGTTTGTGAGGAGACCCTTCCCTGTGGGAAGGTACTTCTGAGCCACAGGTGTTCACTGACTCCCTCCCTCTGTCTCTTTTTGGCTTTTTGCTATCATGTGGCCTCTTAGGTGGGTGCAGGGAGCTAAAATGATTAAGAATCTACTCTTATTTCACAGAGAAGAAAAGTTTTGGCTTTCAAGGTGTGAGTCCTGGGACCAAAGATAAAAAGAACCATCACCCCTCCAGGCTGGAGTTCCCAGACTCAGTTCTGTACACTTGGGTCACAGCTCTTTTCCAACTCCCCAGGGGCGGTGGAAGTGGTCCTGTTGACCTAAGTAAGGCAAAGAACAGTCCTTCTTTCCTCACTTTGTCTCCACAGAAGGCAGCCAGGGTTAGGATTCTGCAAAGGAAGCCGAAGGAGAAGGACTTGTGGGAATGTACTGAGCAGGCCAACGGGAGGATGCCAGGATAGGGAGCCACTGAGAGCTGGCTGACTTCCAGGGTTCATTTTTTTTTTTTTTGTTACGTGCCCCTAGCAGGAACCGAACCCGGGACTCTCTGGTCCGCAGGCTGATGCTTCAACCACTGAGCCAAACCGGCCAGGGCCCAGGGTTCATCTTAAGCTCTGGGTCACTGGAGTAAGCCAAGAGCAAGGGCAGCCTATTTCAGCCACGCCCTACTTCCAGCCCTCTTGTTACAGGCTGTAGATTTGTAAGGGGTGTGGGATTTGTGAGATAATAAAAATATTCCAAAATTGTTGGTGGGGATGATTACACAAGTCTCTAAATATACTAAAAGTCACTGAATTGTACACTTTTAATGGGTAAATTATATAATAAGTATATTAGTCTGTTCAGGCTGCTAGACCAAAATTCCATGAACTGGGTGGTTTATAAACAGAAATTTTTTTTCTCATAGTTCTGGAGGCTGAGAAGTTCAAGATCAAGACACCAACACATTTGGTCTCTGATGAGAGCCCACTTCCTGGTTCACAGTAAAGTGCCTTCTTACTGCGTCCTCATATGGCAGAATGAGCAAGCTAGCTCTTTGGGATATATATATATTTATTTATTTTATTTATTTTTTTTTTTTTAAATCCTCACCCAAGGATGTTTTTATTGCTTTTGAGAGACAGAGGAAGGGGAAGAAAGAGAGAATCATTGATGTGAAAAACATAAATAAATTGCCTCTCATATGTGCCCCGACTAGGAACTGAAACTGCAACCTAGGTATGTGCCCTGACCAGGGATGGAACCCGAAACCTTTCGGTGTTTGGGATGATGCTCCAACTAACTCAGCCACCTGGCCATGGCCCCATTTGCTCTTCTTCTTCTTCTTCTTCTTCTTCTTCTTCTTCTTCTTCTTCTTCTTCTTCTTCTTTTTAACTTTTTCTTTATTGATTTTAGAGAGAGAAGGGAGAGGGAGAGAAAGACAGAAACATCAATGAGAGAGAACACTGATTGGCTGCCTCCTTCATGCTCCCCACTGGGAACTGGGCCCACAATCTGGGCATGTGCCCTGACAGGGAATCGAACCAGTGACCTCTTGATGCATGAGACAACACTCAACCACTGAGCTACACCAGCTGGGTGCATTTGCACTTTTTAATCCCTTCACTTTTTTCACCCAGACCCCCCAAGCCCCCTCCCGTCTGGCAACCAACAGTTTGTTCTCTGTATGTATCATAGATCTCAGTTTCTAAATACCAATAAAAGAAAGTAGGGCTCCTTGGAGAAATAGTTGATTACAGGGCTGGGGCTGGTAAAGCATGAGATGAACCTGGAACATGTTATGCCAGAAAGTAGGGAAGTGTTCAAAGAATGACGGAGACATGTTTGTTTGTTTTTTTATCCCCACTGGAGGACATTTTTCCTTTTTTTTTTTTTTTCAGGTAGAGTGGGAGGGAGAGAGAGGAACAGAGAGAGAGAGAAACATCGACATGAAAGGAACACATCGAGTGGCTGCCACCCGCATGACCAACCAGGGCCGGGGACAAACTGCAACCGAGGTACGCACCCTTAGCGGGAACTGAACCCGGCTCTCTCTGGACCGTGGGCTGACGCTCTAACCGCTGAGCCAAACCGGCCAGGGCAAAGAATGATGGAGACATGTTAAAAAGACACAGAAGCCAGACTGAAGGGGTGCCCAGTGACCAAAATGGGGACAACTTGAGCATCAAAATAATAAGTGATTGTAATGTGTAATATTCACATACTTTCAAAGTATTTCTCCACAAAATGCTTATTAATTACAAAGTGGAAAAGAGGCCCTGGCCGGTTTGACTCAGCAGTAAAGCATCGGCCCATGGACCAAAGAGTCTCCGGTTTGATTCTGCTCAAGGTTACGGACCTCGATTGTGGTTCATCCCCAGCCTGGGTAGGGTTGTGCAGGAAGCAGCCAATCCATGTGTCTTTCTCACGTCGATGTCTCTCTCTCTCTCTCCCCCGCCCCCCCCCCCCACTCTATCTGAAGATAAAAATGGAAAAAAGTATCCTTGGGTGAGGATTTAAAAAAAAAAAAAAAGACAAAATGGGCCCTGGCTGGTTTGGCTCAGCGGTTAGAGCATCGGCCTGTGGACCAGAGAGTCCCATGTTCAGTTCCCGCTAAAGTCACATACCTCAGTTGCAATTTGTCCCCGGCTCCAGTTGGGGTGGTGTGGGTGGCAACCACTCCATGTGTCTCTCTCACATTGATGTTTCTCTCTCCCCCACCCCCGCTCTATCTGAAGATAAATGCAAAAAAAAAAAAAAAATGTCTTCCAATGAGGATAAAAAAAAAGACAGTGGAAAAGAGTAACACTGAAGTGGAGAAAACTGGCTATAGTGTCTGAATGGTGGTCTCCAAAAAGATATGTCCATGTATTAATCCTGAGAATCTCTGGATGTTATCTTACTTGGAAAAAGAGTCTTTGCAGATGTAACTAAATTAAGGATCTTGGGATGAGGAGGTCACCCTGGATTGTCCAGACGGGTACTAGATTCAATGACAAGTATCCTTGGAAGAGACACACAGAAGAGAAGGTGATATGAAGACAGAGACAGAGATTGAAGTGATGCAGCTACAAACCAAGGAATGCCCAACAGCCATCAGAGCTGAAAGAGGCAAGGAATGGATTCTTCCTTAGAGTCTTCAGAGGGAATATGATTCTGCCAATACCTTAATTTTGTCTTCTGACCTCCAGAACTGTGAAAGAGTACATTTCTGTTGCTTTAAGTCACTAGTTTATGGTAATTTGTATGCAGCCACAGGAAACTAAGACACTAGCAGACACCACCTTAAGCAAGTGATCAAATGAACATCCTCAGTAATGGAACCAATCAAAATCATGCACCAATTGAAAGAATGCAAAGAGAGGAACACAGCATGACCCAAATCTAATCACAAGGAAATGTCTGACAAACCCAAATTAGGGAGATTCTACAAAATAACTGAACTGTAACCTTTAAAAATGTCAAGGTCATGAAAGTCAAGGAAAGACTGAAGACCTGTCCCAGATTGAAGGAGACAAAAGAGATATGCAACGAATGATTCTGGACTGGACCCTTTTGCTGTGAAGGATATTCTTGGGCCCTGGCTGGTGTTGCTCAGCTGGTTGGAGCATCATCCTGTACACTGAAAAGTCACAGGTTCAATTCCTGGTTGGGGTGCTTATGGGAGGCAACTGATCCTAATCAATGTTTCTCTCTCCCTCTCCCTTTCTCTCTCTCTCAAAACATATCCTCAGGTGAGGAAAAAAAATAATAATAAGAGGGAAGGGGTGGGGGGGATGGGAAGAGATTACACCAAAGAATGTATTTTTACATGCATATATGCCTAATCAATGGATACAGACAACAGTGTGATGAAGGCAGGCAGGGTGGGAGTGGGGAAGAGGGTATCAATGGGGGAAAAACAAGAGACATCTGTAATACTTTCTTTTTTTTAAATTTATTTATCTTTATTGTTGAAAATATTATAGATGTCCCTCCTTTTTTCCCCTAATGACATCCTCCTCCCCGCTCCTGCTACCCGCCCTCCTGCCTTCACCACACTGTTGTCGGTGTCCATTGGTTATGCATACATGCATATAAGTTCTTTGGTTTATCTCTTCCCACCCCCTACCCCCACCTCTCCTCCATCTTAGGTTTGTCAGTCTATTCCTTACTTCCATGTTTCTGGATCTATTTTGTTCATCAGCTTATTTTGTTCATTGTATTCCACAAATAAATGAGATCATGTGATACTTGTCTTTCTCTGACTGGCTTATTTCGCTTAGCATAATACTCTCCAGGTCCCTCCATGTCTCAAAGTGTAAGAGATCTCTCTTTCTTATAGCTACATAGTATTCCATTGTATTCATGTACCACAGCTTTTTTATCCACTCATCTGCTAATGAACACTTGGGCTGTTTCCAGATCTTAGCTACTGTAAATAGCACAGCTCTGAACATAGGGGTGCATATACTCTTTCTGATTGGTGTTTCAGGCTTCTTAGGGTATATTCCTAGAAGTGGGATCACTGGGTCAAATGGCAGTTCAATTTTTAATTTTTTGAGGAAACAACATATTGTTTTCCATAGTGGCTGCATCAGTCTGCATTCCCACCAGCAGTGTACTAGAGTCCCCTTTTCTCCACACCCTAGCCAGCACTTGTTGTTTGATGATTTGTTGATGGTGTAATAATTTCAACAATAAA